CTCAGTACAGCATACAAAACAATTAGGACTGAAACCACTTACTTAACAACTGTAAGTCATAATAACATAAAGAATAACATGTAAATAAACTCATCTAAACATCTAACATGTATACTTTCTTCCTCTGGCCAACATATTAAACAAAATAGATACAGTACTTGTATGCAGGGGTGTAGCACCAGATTTTGGGCACTGGGTACATATCACTACATGTTGTACAGGGGCCCTCTCAGCACTGGGCCCTTGGTAAACAGTACCCTTTGGAAACACTATCAAGAGTTATGAAGCATTATGGTTAGGGTTAGTGCTATAATGCTAGTGACTGGGGAAAAAAAAGGTTTCTGGACTCGATGGGTGTAAAGTAATTGCTAGCATTATCTTTGAATTCTTATGTGTGTGGGTAGATATTCTGAACTATATTTATGTTTTGATCAAAATGTTGCTATTATGTGTGAGTGCCTTTAGGCTGTGCATTCTTTTGGCCAGTTCAAAGGAGCAAGGATATGTATAAAGAGCAACACAGCACCCAATCAATACAAAAATCTCTGCACACAAGGATTCAGATGATGTACTATGGCAACCAACGCTGGAACGAAAGATTCATTGTCCTCTTGCCTTGTCATTTGATTTTTTTCCTCTCACTCCCGAATTATTACCGACAATAACAGTAAAGAATAGTCTCAATAAAAATGACTTTGTGCGTGTCTGTAACCTCGTTTTCTCTATGTTCTCCCATCCATGTCCCATCTTTTACCACAGCGATCTTCTCATCTGCATGGGAGTGGATCTACTGCCAACATGAGGACAAGAAATTGGACCTCAGCGGGGAGTTAAATGTGCCTTCAATCTCAACAATCCTTTTAATCTCTCATCAATCACGGAGAAGCAGCTCCTAGTCCCGATCCTATTACAGTTTGAGGAGAATAGCTTTGAATTGACAACCGTGAGATGTGCACTGAAGTTTGGAGCAGAAGAGTTGAAAGTTTATATATATATATATGCGGTTCAGACATTTTAAAGGAAAAAAAATCTTCAAAGTAGAGAAACAAACAAATATATGCGGTTTCAGTTGGTAACTTAAACAAAATGTCAACAGTTTAAAGTTGATAGAAATTTGATACATTAAATGATACATTAAATGTCAAGTTTCAGTAAAGTCAAGTGAAGTTTATTTGTTATTAAAATAGAAGAATGTAATTTTTCATTACATTTGTAAAAATGTTAATACTTTTATGAAGTGTGTTTTTAATTTTGTGTAGACTATTCACATTCCTATGTTTTCTCTATGGGTCATCTGACTTTTTCCATTGTCCAAAGACATGAGTTTACCTGAGATTAAGGAAGGTGAATGTATTGTTAAAGTATTTTTAAAATGATAATAATAATAATTTGTAATACTGTACATTATGGATAATTGCTGATTACTGACTTTTGGTGCTGGCCATAGACTTTATATAGACATTGGCATAGGTAAACCACTAGTCATACCAAATAGGAAGTGAGCAGGGGGGCGCTTCTGGCTCCAGTTGATTTTACATTGAATGGTCACCCCTCTCTCTGTAACAGCTGCAGTGAGTCTCATCATTTTGGTCTTAAAATGTTTGTATTAAACGGCTCTGCGTGATCCTGGTGTTTTTATTTCACTATTTTGCCATCTAGCTTCGTGAGCTTAATTTGACTGGAGCCAAATGCTATGAGTGATGTCACATTCACTTAGTCCACTTATTTATAATGTCTATGTTGCTTTCACAGGCATTCATTCAGCACCACCTTAAATTATTTTGGAAAAAAGGATAAACAAAACAAAAACAGGTTGTTCCTCAACTCTACATTAATATTTTAGTAGCATATAATATTCCCATCTGTTTTCCCAGTGTTATGTTTTAAACACTAGTAGCTAGAGCTTGTGCATTTTGCTGCAATGTTGCTAACAGAGTAATTTATGAGCAGAACTATATGTTGGAACTGGGGCATAATTTGTTCAAACTTTATTTCCATTATTTTCTCAGAATCGTCCATTGTTTGTATATTAAAACTTCCTCTGGTAACAGAGTTTTGAGCATCTGCAGAAGCTGACTCTCTCCCTAGAGGCAACAGGATGAACTGCAACAAATGGTACATTCAGCTTGAGGGGAAAAAGCAATTTGAAATGTTCATTTTAGACTTGGCAGGATTTATCAACAGTATTTCCAAGTTTGTAAGAAAAACATTATTGTAAAATTTGTTGCTATACCAACCTTTTGGTTATAGCTATCTATATACTTTTCCTGCCAATGGCTATGAGCAATAATGATCTCATATTCACTCATACAATGAAAAACTAAATGTGTGCAAGATATTTTCCACTTAATTTAATCTTTAAGTTGCTTATGAACAAATAGTACAGTTTGTATGGATAGCTTCACTGAGCGTTGGCCAATTAGGAGTTTTATGGACCATATAATTTGAGTCACAGCCACCAAGGCCTGATTAAAAGCAAACATGTTTTTTTTCTTTTAATAGTACAGGAACACGGAGCTCAGTGCGGACAGTAATGCTGCAAGTTCATAGCAACAGGGAAAGTTGCTATGGATAAATTATTTTCTGAAGTGTTTATCAGATTCTTGCCAAAGTCTTCAGTTACTGTAACAGCTAATAAGTATACTAACAATGAAAATGGGAAGCTTTGACATAAATGTATTTTAGACATATTCTTTCAACATATGAACAAGCCTTCTCTATACTGTATGAGCTGATGCAGGTTTTGTGCCTCCATCTGGAGTTTTCACAAGAACATCTGGCTTATGTTTATGTAGGATAATTTATACTTAGCTCTGTTTTCTTTTTTGCATCGTTTTGAGCATATTTCACAGAGCATTTATTTCCCACCAAATGCACAGACTAAAATGTAACTTTACTCTGCCATCATACTGATGTTTTTGATTAAAACTACTGAGCTGCATCTTAGATTCCACCCCTCCAGGTAGTGAGGGCACACCAAATGTAAATGCTTAAAAAAAAAAAAAAAGACAAAAAAAAACTTGACATACTTTTTTACTTTAATCCATTTCAAAATGTAATTGAGTTGAATACTTACTGTAAAATGTTAAATCAGTTTAAAATATCAGTAGAATGAAGATGCCTAAAATGTAAAGAGTATTTTTTTTTTTATTATTTCATCACTTTCCACCATCACTTTATGGAGTTCAGGTTATAAATATGTAAGCCAAATAGCTTCTTATTTACTTTGTATTTTCTCTCCCAGTTTCTCTCTGAGCGATGAGATGCAACTTGGCGTAATTTATTTTTCACACATGGGGCCACATGGAAATCAGTGCATAACCAGTGAATTACAGACTACCACCTGCAAACATAAGCCTGAATGCACCTTAAACTCAGACTGGCCCCTCTCCTCCTGTTGCCCGGGTCAACAGCAAATCTCACATTCCCACAATGACACTGCCACAATACCGGGCCAGACTTTGGTTTTACATTTGAAAGCATATTTAACTTTTCACTCATCCATTCACTGCCTGCGAGCGGTAAGACGCCGAGCCCAGCCAAGATTAGCTTCTGGCAGACAATGGCATGAATTAAAGGCCACACATGGCCCCTCGCTTGTTCTCCTGGTGACCAAACACACTTCCAGGGCCAGGAACTCTTGACCAGGCTTTTTAGCCCAAAAGGAGAAGCTAGGTCTCTGAGATAAGTGTATGGCAATAGACTCAGGATCAGAACCAGGCCAAACAAAAGTCCCTCACATGGAACAAGGCAGATGGTGATTTCTTTCTAACCTATTAAACTCTGGTGTCAGAGGTTTGGCAAAGGTTGAGCTCAGTGTTACCATAAAATAGGAACAGAATTGTTCAATTGAGTACCAAGCCATTGAAGCTAAAGTCACTTATTTATTTGGAACTACCTATACTGTGTTACAACACATGGTGCCTACCTTAGAATTACAGGCTGCTTGTCTATATCATTTACATATTTTCACATTTCATACCTGAAATTGAGGTTAGGCTATTTTTGGGTTTGTAGAGAAAAACATAAGAGGTAGTACAAAGATAACTCAACAGGTCAGTCACAATTGTTGCACCAAGTAGGAGTGTTTATAGTCTTTAACATTATAAACCGTTTTGTTGTCTTGTCGTCCAAATGCACTATAGGTCCTGAATGTGGGACAACTAGCCTACCATTTTCTCTAAAAGCCTATTTCTGTCAGTATGAATATAAGTTAGAAGGAAGTGGTCTAAATTAAACATTTGCCACTAGTTTGTACTTCTTAGTCCTTGAGCGCAATAGATTGAAAGAATAAAAAGATGTATAGACAACTTATTGTTTATAACATTTTTACAATTAGGCAAATTATTTATAACTTAACCAGCCGTTAATTTGGTTGAAAATAAATTTCCGTTCACGTGGTGCGCAATTGGCGCGTTAACATGTTAATGAGCGTAAATGCAGACTTTTTAGAAGCCTCGTAGTACAATGCCATCATAGGCCGTCTAAACCAAAGGGGGCGACCACGAACAGGCAGCCGCGCCGTATAGTCATCTGTGCTCCAAGCTCGTAATAGTAAACGGTGAGGGAGTCCGCAGCTCGGCTTGTCATTCCCCAGCAGCAGAAGCAGCAGATACGGAGGCTGGCGTGTCACCTTATCTGTCTCCCACTATCGCTGTGTCCAGGGACTATTTCACAAATTTCTCCCACCGGATCCTTCCCGAGACGTTCAATTAGGTGTTTGTGAGTTAATGGGCATCTTGGACGACTGGCTCCTAATCCATGTGTGTGTGCTTTAGAGATTGTGAGCGGCAGAGGCAGCAGCAGCAAGAAGCAGCACCTAGGAGCACAAGTAGGAGGCGGAGGATTTTGCCGTACCGTGTCGTGCACAGTGGAAATACGCTCCTACTACTATCAAACAGTGAAGAGCGAAAGACAAGGTAGAGGCACGAGGGCTTTTTTGGAGCACCCCTCTCTGTATTGATGAATTGTCAACGGGACAGGCCTGCAACATCGCACGTATCTCCAGCATGGTAAGGTTCATCTAAGTGTGATTTTGCTCGGGTTGCAGAAAAACAAGGCAAGCGTGATGCAGCGGGGAGAGCTAAACGCAGGGAATCCGCGAGCAGAAGCAGCGCCTTTGCACGGGATTTTAAACATTAGCGACGCTTGTTTGTGATGTCTTCACCGACACCGTCCTACTCTCAGCGCATTATTGTCACATAGGTGGAGAGATTAACGCCGCTTTGAGAGCCGTGCACCGAGGAAGCCAAACCTACCCACCTCGGTATAGCTATTAACAGCGTAAAGCTCTTATCGCGGCTCTGGGTAAATTCGATTTCTATTAGGGCTTATAACCATAAGTCCATAGCCGCCTGTAGTGTGCGACTGGATGAGAAATGGGAAGGGCTGCGACGCGTCCCAATATCACATCTCATAAATAACGCACACGCACGACGCTGAATTTGTAGGTAGGTTAAAGTGCTCTGCTGAAGGAGGCTGTGGACCTGGGCATACACGGGTGGATGCGGATACAGTGGAACAGAATCTGCTGTTGGTTGATAGTTCGGATGAAATTAGATGTAACCTGTTCTTGATAACGACAGGAATGGTAGATTGGCATAGAGAGGACTTCAAGAAGTTTGGAGAATTTACTGCCTTACGTGTGCCAATGATAGACCCTGAAAAACGAAAATAAAAGTTTCAGCACATTGCACTTGCGAAGTGAAAAGTAGCTTAACCTGTCACAGTAATATGACAAATTATTGCTGAAACCTATAGTATCAATACTAGTCATACTAGTTATGTCACATTTTAATATTCTTCTGTGAATAAGGGCAGATCACACCTGTCGAATGAAGCTATTTCAATTGACAAACCTCATTTGAATTTGCTGCAGTTGAAAAAAACGGTTAAGACCCGAGGACTATGAGTAGGACCCCTGGGAGTCATTGTTGGGGCCCAACACACAGCTTATTCTGACTCTGCCCTCTGATTGGGCGATCTGAAAAACAGATCTGAATACTGTGCTAAAGCAAACGACTAGTTAGTAGTGGACTTTAAGTAGGATAGTAATATAGTAATATAGTAATATTAGGGCTCAGTTAGCCTACTATAAACCATGTTTATAAACAGTTAAGCTATATAACTATAGCACTAGTTTTATCTGCACCGTAGCACTTGTAGGATTTGTTTCATTTTGATTTTACATATATAAAAGTTATGTATGAGAAGTAGAATGAAATATAACCTGTAGCTATAACCTTTAACTGAATTTCTTGTTGTTCACTTGAGAAGTCATGTATGACACTTCTTGTGGCTTATAATTAAAACTGAAACTATATTCTGTTATGGACAAGCTTTCAATTTACTGACCGTAAACCGATTTGCCTTTTTGTGCATCAGAGCCACAAGTGGCATTATTGTCTATGGTGGGGTGGGTGACCTCTTTTATTAGGGGTTAAATCCTAGAGAATCCAGGGGCCCTCCAGCCTACACACCCAGGGTTTGGGGAAGGCATCAAAATGAGAAGTCTGGACTTGTTAGGTTCCTCAGAGGTTAACCTTTGTTGAGCCTGGCTGCATTCTCCCTGTTGTCTTTGTCGTGATGATGAGAATCCGCCTGAGCGCTATTCTAACGCATGATAAGAGGCAAAACAACTCGCCCTTTGTGGTCACACATGAAAAATCTGTCCAGCGTTTTTATGTCTTTGTTGCAGCTTAATTCTGAACTGATGTGACGGTGAGGAGAGAAAGACTTAAAAGTTGTCATGGACCTTGTTTTGGTGTGTAAATGATTGTTGTATTTGAACTAGTGCTGGAGTATGAGGGCACAATGACAAACAATCAAAAGAATGCATTCCCCAAAGACTATCCTCAGGGATGTGTGTTTTTCAAGTAATTGTTTAGAGATCTGTGCTGTCATCAATAGGAAGACTAGTTGAAAATTGTGTATAATACAGGATTTGTGCATTCTGACTGAGCTAGAACATGTAGCATACCTTATTTATGCAATGTTGATCAAACTTGAATGGGGCTTATGAATAAATATGCAGTTGGGAATGTTACGTAATGTCACTGCAATATTCAGCATGCATGTGACTGTGGAGCTGTTTCACCATTGAGAAAAAAATCATTTTAACAGTTTCCTCTTACAAGTTAGAACCAAGCTGAAGTTTATATTTTTTGCTTCAGTAAAGTGCACTATTTGTAATACCCAATTATTTTATATAAATGAGGTAGATGATATTGATGGACTACTCTACATTTGAAATAGTGCTTGAAATAGGTGCTGAAACTGCAGAAATTGCAACCACACACATCATTACAGCAAAGACAGTAATGATGCTCCTGCAAGTATAATGAGTTCCAGAGTGTTGTTATTATTAAACATTTAGAGCTAATTTCAAACTGACAGTCCAACTTTTTACTTTGGAAGTCTGCGGTGGTCTATTGCAATTTAACAGTTTTATACAATTAGCAGAAAAAAAACACTGAATCGGAAAACACAAAAATTAAGGTAAATTCTTCTGAGCTTTTTCAAAAAGAACAGAAATGTCTAAATTGACTGCTTTTGTAAGTAATATTGGTTATAAGAAAGAGGAGAAAGTATCAGCTATCACTCATTTGGGTAATGAAAATTCATAAGCTTTGTAATTTTCAGAAAATGTTCACTACTCTTATTAAGCTATTGAACATTCAGATCACTCAGATCAAATTAGATGAAATATGTCTTAAAAGACTGAAAATGTTCAAGTATTGTATTTGATCAGACAGGAAGTATTGGATAATGCAATTTACCCATTAAAGCCTTCACCATCATTTTCACTAAGGTAGTTAGGTTTAATTTGCCAAAGAATTTGAAATTATACACCTATTTGGCCCACTGAACATCCAAATGTCCCAGACTAAGCAGCGTAGTGAGTTCATGGTTAGTGGTGTGCACTTGAATGGCTGGACATGGGATAATGTTTCTTCTGGCGAGCACACAGACAGACTGCTCTTTGTGTCCCATGTTTCAGAGTGTGCTGCATGTAGCAATTTTAAAGATGACTCTTAATGCTGCAGAGGCTAATGACAATCCACAGGTGTGGGGCTCATTATCCTGACATACTTCACTTTGATATACGATTTTCTGCACAGTGCCATAGAAAAAATATTTTCTACCCATTTTGTTATTCAAATGTAATTGCAAATGATTTATCTTTATATTTTGGTCACAGAAATTTTCTCCAAATTGGGTCAATGTCTAACAAAAGCTGAAGTAGCATTGATGGCTATGTTGCATATTCTAAATTAATAATGCATGCACTATATTGCACTTTTGATTTTTGTGGTTGGCATTCAAAAACATACAGTATTACATTTTTTTGTTGCAAAATATATTTATTGGCAAACAGAGAAAATCAACTATGACAATTACTCACAGAATCCGATTTGTGGATGTTGTTTGTGCAAGCTCAAATGTACATTGATCTAACTGAACAAGTCCCACTCAAACACATTTGCCAAGTAAGTATAAAGTTTACTTTGGGATTTTGCCAGTAATGTGTCTGCCAAACATCACAATAGTTTACCACCTTAAAGGACATTTCAGTATATATGAGACACTTGGACAGTTGTAATGAGGCAAAATAGCAGGTCTTCCTTGGTTATATTTGCTCACAGAATATTGCACAGTGCATTATCCAGACTGATGGCGTTTTAGGAATGGTTGTGTGTGAGTGGAGGGCTTGAGCCTGGCCACTTTTAAACATGATTCGGCTCAGTAATGGGATCTGAAGCCATCTCCAGAGGGTCATTAGATCTGATGGTTGCCTTGCCCGGTTGTTAACAGCCAAATAATATGAGGCCATTTTACAGAACCAGGTGCACTTAGTGGTGCAAACACTGTATCCCATATCCTTTTCAATGATGAGACTACCAGCTAAGCACATCCTGGGTCATTAGGATGTCAAAGTACTTTCAATAATGTGACTTTTTTGGTCTAATCATACAAACCATTGAAATCCAAACAAAATCTTCATCATTTTCATTCACATAAAGTTACTAAAGTTAGGTTCAAGTATCAGACAAATCTGAAATTGCTGTGAATGGCGTGTGCAAATATTACTTATTCTGAAGGTTTTTTTTGTTTTTTTTTTGCAGCATTTCTTACTTGAAATTATGTATTTGATATTCTTATGCATATCTTCAAAACGAGATGGTGTAATCCTTTATTCTTCCTGGACCAGAAGTGTTCCAATTTACATCACATCTTCAAAACAACATTCAGTTCACAACAAAGGCTTAACAAAAACAAAAGAGATATGATTTGATTTACGAATTAGATTCTCAACAGTTCATTCAGTAAAATTTTATACACACCCACTTTTAACTAATACAGAAATTAGGGGTCTAAAAACATATTTTCAATATGTATTTTAAAGATGTTTAGCTGTTTTCAGATACTGATACAAATTGTGATCATTCAACTTGCAATTACAATTTGATTGCAGTCTATCTTGCTACCCTATCCATTACCCTAAAATGTTAATAAATATGTAATTGTCAAACATTCTCTGTTATCTGACTCGTTGCATCTTCAAAATAGTTTCTTAAATGACTGTTGCAGACTTACAGAAAGAGGCTTCACCCCACTGCCAGGTCAGTGCGTTTTATACCACTGAGAGAAATGCGCTGCAGCAAATTGCCACTACTGTTGTTGTTGTTGTGCATGCTGCAAACTATGGCGGATACACAGCAGAAAAACAGCTTGTAATTTGATGACTCAATTCGAGCCCTTGTTGAAAGTGAAAAGTGAAGATAGGGAAGATGTCTCCTACAGCACCTTCAGGTCACATAAGGAGGGCCACTGGCTGACACACATCACATGCCTCGCAGCTATCAGACTAACAAAGTGGCTTCTTACAGTGTATTTTCTGCATCGTTTGAATTGTCCCATCAGAACAATGTCCCTGGTGACATTTCATCATGACCAGGATAATCTTATGCAAGACAGTGAAACGACGAGTTAATTTGCAGGTAATTGAGCC